TCACAGGAGGTTCAGTGGAAGCACGGCCGTACCTGAGTTCATGCCGGTCCGAGCGCCACGAGAGAGCCTAGGATGTGTTACCTTTGAGGGGAGGGTCCCCACCCACTGGTGAGAGTGCCGCCACGTGTGGCAGGTCTCAGGGACAGAATGGACCGCTCCCCCCAGAAGTGTCAGTGGGGGTTCTGTCCAGTGTCTGAGATGGAAGCAGGACAGGAAGACAAGGCCTCACGCACACACATGCACGCACTCAGACACCCTGGCAGGGAGGCCTCTGCATCTGGCTGCCGGAGAACCAGCTCACCCCCCATCCTGCTGCCTTCAGGCAGCTTTTCTCCCCGGGAGGCTCCTGGCGGTGCGCTGGGACAGGCGGGAGTGTGTGCATAGCAGCTCTGTGGCTCACCCAGGCAAACACTGTGTGGAAAGGGACTGAAGGGCCACTGGGTCTGGTTGGACCAGCACCACTACCCTAGCAGCACACACATCTGTTTGCACTAGAGCTCTCTGCACTGATCCTGGCAGCCAGAATGAAGTGTTACCAGTAGTAGAGGGAAAGATCCCTTCTGTGGGAGAGATGGATGGGGGACTGGGCAGGGGAGGAGGGTGTCACTTCCTGTTTGCAGGTTTTCTGGGGCGGAAAGAAGGTGAGCCGTGAGAGCAGTGCCTTCCTCCATGTCCGTGTGGGCGCAGCAGACCCTCCCACAGTTACTGTTTCTCAGCCAGCACTGGGGACCCCTGGGGGCGTCTCGGGGATCTAAGCTAGTGCTGGCATTGGGCATCCCTCCTGTCCGTCCAGCCTGGAGCTGAGCTGGACATGGCTGTGGCCCTCGCTCCCAGCTTGTCCAGTCAGGCTAGATAGTAAAACGGTCAGTGAAATAAATTAAAGTAAACATTTATAATAACATAGGTATATTCAAACATTTATAATAGTAATGTGTAGAGTGTTTATTAAGTGTCAGGCCCTCGGTTCTCTCATCTACTCCTTACCCTATGGAGGAGGTACTGTTCCTCATTCTCACTTTTCAATTATGGAGACTGAGGCACAGAGAGGAGATGATCGAGAGCAGCTGGTTAAATGACTTGCCCACGGCCACTGCATAGTAAGTATCAGAGCCAGGACTTGATCCTGACAGCTTGGCCCCGGAGTTCAAATATTTCATCACTTTGCCATATAGCCACGACGCTAGTGGTCACTCAGGTCCTCAGGGTCAAGTCAGGATCCCAAGCCAGGCCCAGGCCCGTGCCTCAACCCTCACTCCTGCCGCTCCCTCCATAAACAGATTCAGGCTTGGCCCTGGAAAGGCATTCTTGGTCCCAGTCGATGCTTCCAGGGTAGTTCATGACAACAGGGGGGTTTCTGAGGAAAAGGGAGAAATGTCAAGGTGGCTTCCAGTCTTGCTCCCAGAATCCCTCCTGTTAGAGGCCCGGGCCCCAGGCTCATTCCACCAGCCTTCCCGGGGCAGCGGGACGCACTCTGTGACACACACCCAGATGGGCCTCGGCCTTCTTCTGAGCCACTCATGGCCCTGAATGGCCCAGACCCAGAAACGCACCGGTCTGCTTCAGTGCCGTGGGTGGTGTTTGTGGATCTTGGCCGAATTTTCTGGGAACAGGAATAGAAATGGGGGCAGGCAGAACACAGTCGCCCATCATTTGGTAGATCGGAAGATCGGAATCGGGCCCTGTCTCTGAGCCAGGAGATGATCAAGAGCAACTGGTTAAATGGCTTGCCCACAGCCACCACGTAATAAGTATCAGAGCCAGGACTTGATCCTGACAGCTTGGCCCCGGAGTTCAAATATTTCATCACTATGCCGTATAGCCATGACGCTAGTGGTCACTCAGGTCCTCGGGGTCAAGTCAGGATCCCAAGCCAGGCCCGTGCCTCAACCATCACTCCTGCCACTCCCTCCATAAACAGATTCAGGCTTGGCCCTGGAAAGGCATTCTTGGTCCCAGTCGATGCTTCCAGGGTAGTTCATGACAACAGGGGGGTTTCTGAGGAAAAGGGAGAAATGTCAAGGTGGCTTCCAGTCTTGCTCCCAGAATCCCTCCTGTTAGAGGCCCGGGCCCCAGGCTCATTCCACCAGCCTTCCCGGGGCAGCGGGACGCACTCTGTGACACACACCCAGATGGGCCTCGGCCTTCTTCTGAGCCACTCACAGCCCTGAATGGCCCAGACCCAGAAACGTACCGGTCTGCTTCAGTGCCGTGGGTGGTGTTTGTGGATCTTGGCCGAATTTTCTGGGAACAGGAATAGAAATGGGGGCAGGCAGAACACAGTCGCCCATCATTTGGTAGATCGGAAGATCGGAATCGGGCCCTGTCTCTGAGCCAGGCATGGTGCTCATCAGGGGCGAGTGCATGAACGTGTCCAGTAGGGAGGACAGGGGAGCTGGGTGTGTGCAGGGGTGAGGTCAGAGAGTATGTGCATAAACATGGTGATGGAGATGGGGCAGACATGGAAGTCAACCACTGACGTTAAATGTGGATGGTGGAGATGCCAGCAGTGGGCAGGTTAAACCTCTGGTCATCGATTGCACGTGACTGTAGGCTTGGGTATAGATTGGGATTTTGACTCTGAATTGGGAGGAATGTGGACAGAGCGAGAGCCAGGCTACAGAATGAAATGAGCTTCGAGGAGGGGCTTGGCCTTCATGGTCACTCAGACCAGCACGCCTGGGAGCTGTCAGGACAGCTTCCTTCTGGGAGGCAGCGGAGCTGTGGCCCGCCCTGGGCGACGGCCTCTCACCTCCCACTCTCCCCTCTCTCCCACCCCGACCGGACCCCCGGCAGGTGTGCCAGAAGTCGGGCGAGATCTCCCTCCTGAAGCAGCAGCTGAAGGAGTCCCAGCTGGAGGTCAACGCCAAGGCCAGCGAGATCCTCAGTCTGAAGGCGCAGCTGAAGGACACGCGGGGCAAGCTGGAGGGCATGGAGCTGAAGACGCGGGATTTGGAGAGCGCGCTGCGCACCAAGGGCCTGGAGCTGGAGGTCTGCGAGAACGAGCTGCAGCGCAAGAAGAACGAGTCGGAGCTCCTGCGGGAGAAGGTGAACCTGCTGGAGCAGGAGCTACAGGACCTGCGGGCGCAGGCCGCCCTGCAGCGGGACTGCACG